AATAGCACATAATATAATCACATTGCCAAAGTTACATATTGGCTACATTGTCAGCCAAATGTCTAGAAATTATGAGCCTTTGAATTTGTGATGTTCCTTCATAAATTTGAAATATCTTAGAATCTCGATATAATTTTTCAACCGGATACTCTGTTATGATAAATAAAGCAACGATTAAAAAGAATCATCACTATTATATGTATCTGTAATGGCCATAAGTGCATACCTGTATTAAAGCCATTACCACCAAAAACTTGAACAGCCATATTGGCCGAGTTGACAGCTACATCAGACGCAAGCTAAATAAAGCAACAATTAACAATCAATTCATTTAGAGACTTGTTAATACTGCCTCCCATTTTTGTTAATGCCACCCCTACATAACTCTAATTGGCCTTTAACTCTTCCGGAAACTCTATGAACAATACTTACCCTAACTGCTAATTAATTAATCACATAAATTTGCACTGTTTCTAAATACTGACTGTAAAATTTTCACGATTTTAGACAGGTTAGGGTTATATAGGGAGTGGCATTAACAGTTCTCTTTATTTATTCTTAGAAAAATTTTATAAATATGTTCACATACTGCTTTGGCGATAGAGGCGTAGAATGTGTTCTTCTCGCCTTGATCGTGTAACCAGCTCGCCTATTTAAACACGTTCGCGTTAGATTGGTGTACGGAAACCATTAAGAATTCTCTGTATATTTATAAATATATAATACTTGCCTTCCAAACCATATTACGAGCCGATTCAATACCTATTGCCATATCAGCAAGTATAAATGCTATACTTTGATGTTCGAAACTTTATAAAATTTAACAATTACCAACCATTTATTGGTTATTATAAATATCAATTTTAGAAAAATACAACGATTAACAATACTAACATTGGTTTGCCCATAGTTCGTCTTTCAAGAGAATATTTAGTAGCTTCCTCTAGAGCACGACGCGCCAATCCTACGGCAGCGGAGGCAATTAAGGGACGAGTAATATCAAATGCTGACATGGCAATTTTGAACCCTTTACCAACAGTACCTAGTCTAACTTATCAGTAATTAAAAATTTAAATTAACGAGTTTGTTATTAAAAAAAATTATTTTTTTTTATTAAGCTAAACTTACACGTTCTCCTCGGGTACAACAACATTTTCAAATGAGATACCTCGTGTATCACTAGCACGTTGTCCCATATTAATTTCTTTTCTACCGACATTAATTCCTGGTGTGTTCGCGTCCACAATAAATCCCGTAAATGCAGAACCGGGTTTAGCGTTAGGATCAGTACGTGCCAAGACGAAATACCAATTGGCCTTTCCTCCATTTGTAATCCACATTTTTTGTCCATTAATGACCCATTTATCACCTTTCTTTTCCGCCTTGGTTGAAATTCCAGCAACATCAGAACCTGCGCCCGGTTCAGTAACACAATATGCGGCCATTAACGGCTCCTCGGTCATACGGCCTAAATATTTTTTATTTTGTTCTTTATTTCCTGCGACGAGTAACGGTGCTTCTGCGAGTCCATTTGCCTCAATTGCTGTTTGAACGCCAGTGCAACCCCAAGCTATTTCTTCGGTAATTAGACTAGAATCAAGCACACCAAGTCCGATTCCACCATATTCTTGAGGAATATGTGTGTTTACTAAACCAAGTTCCCATGCTTTTTTTATAATCTCGGTAGGATATTCTCCGGTTTTGTCATGATGAGCAGCGTTTGGAGCGATCACTTCGCGAGAGAAATTCCGCGCAAGCTCTTGAAATTCTTTCTGAACTTCGTTCAGTGAAAAATTTATACTACCAGTTGTGGTCGCGAAAGACCTTATCGCTACTGATCTGTAACGGCCAAATATCGAATAGAATCTCTGTGGAAATTTGATCATTTGAAAAGACATAAGAGTGAAATAGGCAAACACCTAATATAGATATCGATGCAAAATCCTAGTACCCGGGTACCATGCTCAGTAACTATTCGATTAAACTAAAATTGCATGATTATTAACTACCAAGTCATTAATATTCATTCTAAACGATTTTAATGTTCTATTAGATTAAGTGATAGATAACCATATATAAATGAATGCAATTTCACTTAAAAGAGGTAAAGTTAGTAAAAAATTTTGAGATAATAGAAATCAAACAATTTTTACATAGTAAATAAAATTTTTTTTTTATCATTACTTAGTTGATAAAAATCTCAATTAATTTAAAGTTTTCCAAGAAGTAATATAAACCACAACTGTATTTATGTCTCTTTGTTACGTATAATTTGGTAGATTTTATAAATCTTTACTAAGATTATATAACCTATGTACTCATTAAGTAAAAATATTAATGCGAACCTAGCAGATTGGGATACCCGAATTTTGAACATTTTCAAATAAAATAATTAATTGGCATACTCTAAAATTTATGAACACTTTTTTTTCCCCTTGTATACGAAAAGCTAAAATTGGATTTTCACATTACACTCTATTCTGTGATTCTATTAGGATGCAACAAAATAAAATCAAAAAATATGTACTGTATATCTTTTTTATGAAAAATATATCGATAATTTAAAAAATATTAATTTAAAAGCTTGCAGAGAGTTGTTTCCTACGGATAAAGTACGTACGCTTATCTTGTCTAATGTAAATATACAGAAAAATAATTACAAAATATAGAAATGTAATTAATATGTACAAACAAAAAATAAAATAATATAACAAATAGCAAGTGTTAAAGACTTGATCTACAATTTAGCCTAAATAAAAAAAAAAAGACAAGCCTTCAAATCCGTTAAAAAGAAAAAATAGTAAAAAAAACCCACTAGATTGTGAAATCCTCGCTTTTTAAATCTAACTTCATACAAAAAGAAATTTAGCGACCAAAAACAAAGTCCAATAATGAAAAGCTATTTTGCTTGTTTCCTTTTAATCTAAAAAGCCTTGAAGTTGAATACATTATCATGGGATAGGCTAAAGCGAGATGAAGAAAAAACAACGAAATCTGGGGTCTAAACCAGTCTTTGAATATTAAATAAAAATGTTGAAAATGCGATTTTACCTATATAGAAAGTCCTAATCTTAATCCTGACTTTAACCATCCCCTTTAAAATGATTGGAAATTTTCGTAATGTAGATAATAAATCAACATAAATAAGATACGAACATGATCAGCGAGAATTTCCAGATTAGCTGGATTGAACATTTAGATAAATTAGTAAGAAAAAAAAGTGTGTTTATTTTCACAATACAATAATAATGTGTTAAATTTTGTTTTCTGCGTAATAGTAACAGATTTTTAGAGGTTACATATTCAACCGGTTTGACCCAAGTTGTAAATGTTTGACCCGGTTGAACCGTTTTGACACGGGTGACCCAGTTTACTACAATCCGGTTCTAAGCTCTATATTATAGTTCAAAAGTTTGAAATGTTGTTGGTAGATAATAGCCGACTAAGTTAGCTTAGCAGTACCAAACATTATCGATTCAGCTAAGCTTATAAATTTTTAATCGACTAAGATGAATTAATCGCTGGTAACAGCCCTTCGATATAGTGGATTTTGTTTAACTAGGTTGACATAATATTGTTGTAAGTCATCACTAGTGCAGATCAACTGCCAACCGATGAGTTTCAAGAATTCCAGTTCTAAAGTGTTCAGCTCTTGCGTAGATATCCCCCCGACTCTTGCATAATGTGTATTTGTACAATAAGAATCGCACAATGCTTTAGATGATACTGTGACTGCAGCAATGATGAATCGATGTACAGTCAGTGAGGTTATAGTGAACGCGTTATTTTCGCACACTCGATCTATGTACAACAGAAGTATCAAGAGACAAGATCTTTCCAAGGATGTATATTTTACTATACGACGAAGATAATCAGATACTGTAATTGATGGTGTTGCTCTAGAATGAAAGCGAGTTATGTTGGAAGTAGTTAAAGGAATTTGATCATTATGTGCAATTAAACGGCATAACATATCGGCTAAATTAAGGATTTTCAAAAATGCGATTAATATTAAACGAGAATGGATAAAATAACAATATAGTAAAAACACGTTAGATAAGAAACAAACCGATCATATGCATTAAATGATTAATGTCAACTTGGTCAAACCGTTCTGGAACTTCAATCACGGATTGAGACACTTGATTCATGTTGCTGCATCACAGCCGCTATATTATTTGTTTGATAGTGAACACTTGAAAGTACAAAGGTCGTAAAAAAAAAAAACGAAAATGAAAAATGAAAAGTAAAAAATATAGTTCTTTTGTTTCTGCTTTTTTTATTGCTGTCGCGTAAAATTTTCGTTCCCAGACTAGAATTAAAAGCATCAACTCCTAATGCTACGAAGTGAGTACAGTCACACAGTGTTCACATATGGGTAAAACAGATGAACAAAGTTCTAAGCTAAAGCCAGGAGAACCAGTAGAATAAAATTTTTTATAATAACCGAAAAGAGTTTGGTTTAACGTTAAGAGACGGTGAATTTTTAATTCATCCATGCACCATGTAGCAAAGCAATGATTGGTGGAAATTAAATGTCATACAAATGGTATAACAGGTTTAGAGAAAACACGTTTCTTTTTCGCAAATTTCGTTCGCTTGAATAGTGATAATATATATGTACATAATTGATTTTGATAACCGCCAAACCTATATATGGGTAAATTTCATAGCATTGCCATTTAATATTTTAAAGGCACTACTGATTTAATTTATCATCAAATTTTATAAATCTGGAACACAAACTCCAATTTTTGTAACTTTATATTGCATTATGATCATTCTCATAATTGATTCTTTAAAAAATGATTCATAGAAGAGAACGAGAGTAATGGAATTGCATTTTAACTTTCAAGAAATTTTTTGGTTATATAAATTATTATAGAACAGTTGTAACTTAGAGTTATAACTATTTTTTATTGTTCCATTCTTCAAGTGAAACATAGGTAAATCTGGAAAGTTACATTCATGTCTTTATTAAGCCTCAATAAATGACTTGGCTACAAACCGAGTTCTGTCGTCTCGTCATCTTGAAATAAAATTAAATTTTTTTAAAAAAAGTAGTACAAATAATGTTCAAGGTATGAAAACCTCTTCAATAAAATGTTTTATAATTTCCTTTCCCTTTACTCCAGCACGCTTATTCCTCACAACAATAGCTGCATGAGCATTCAAAGAATCGATAGCTACAACGAATTTTTCCCACCCTAACATATTCAAATATGTGAAACTTATATTTTGAGCTCCACATATCGGAACTCGTGGGAAAAGCGATGATGTAGCAAATTCTGTCATCATAATAGTATGTGCGCTAGAGTCAACTGTTTTATTAGAAAGACTTTGCCTTGTTGGTGATGGAGGCAAACTACGAGTAAGGAAGCTTCGGATATTAATTACTGTTTCTGCCGCATCCTCCTCAATATTAGATACAATAACATTAGATCTCGTGGGATTTGATGTTATGTTCCAATTAGAATCTTTTACTTTTCTTGCCGCCAAAACCTTTGCTACTCTTCTCCTTGATTTCACACTTTGAACTGTTAGAGTGCTTAACACTATTATTATCCATAATGGTAATAAAATGCTTATCAGTAAGTAAAATAGAATACTTTTTGCTATGCCAACTGTCTTTTGTGTCAAAGGGATTTTGATAGGAATGGCGTCTCGCTTTGATATTGATATTATAAGGGTTTCAAATTTATCATCTTTCTCGCTGAAAAGAAATCACAAAACTTATCAATTTTATAACTGCCATCACGCGAATTAAACACGGGATAAAAACATACACAGTTATTTTTTTAATATCTTCGAATGGATCAACATCAGTTATCGCAGCGGTCCAGAAAGGCACTGTTCTATCATTCCTAGTATTTGCGTACAACTTCCTGTATTTGAATGCAGCAAGGGCTTTGTAAAAAACCTTTTCTATATTGAATACGCCGAGATAATGATTATAAAACTCGAGTTTAATATTTGTACATTATAAGACGTTAAATTTAAATACCTACCAGGATTCGCCATAACCGCAAGAATTGGCTCATTCCCATCAAATTTATCCACATAATTTAGTTGTTCCCCTTTATGTTTGTCAAATAATTATTTAAAAAATTTCTACATATAAGTAAATAAATAAGATTGTAAAAAAAAAAATTCACCTGTTTTTGATATGAGATTGGATGACACCCAACTGACTACTTTTACTAAAAATTTATTTTCATCTCGTCGAATGCCTAAGTGTGGTGTAGCAATTGTCGTGAAGAACTGTAAATTTGAGTTAAAAGAAAGAAGATTTTGTTAAATTATTGAAAGTGTAAATTAATAATATTAATAATTGGAAAATAATATACCATTGGTTCAATTTCGCCGAAAAATCCTTGTTTATAAAGTATCCCAATTGCATATCTCGCTATCAAGCCACCAAGAGAATATCCAACAAATGAAATTTTTGAAACTTTGTAAAGATCCTTGTCATTGATATGTTTAACTTCTTCATTTATCTATCGTTTGTAAAGCACTTCATAAATTGATAGTGAAAAGAAACGAATGATTGACATCTTTGCATACCTCTTTAACAAGTCTTTCACCGCAAATATCAATGCCATCATATGTATAGTCTGATGTATTGCGTTTAGCATTCAACTAAATAAAAAAAAAAAAGAATGTAAATTACTAGAATCTGGGAGACAAAAAAAAAAAAAAAGTGCACATACGATATGAATTTTATCTTTATATTTTGCTAGTAATTGATCCAGGAGATATTGCAAATGGCCGGGATTTCCCCAAAGTCTGAATAGGAAATAAACCTCAGATTAATTTGAATTAATAGTAAACTATTTTATAATAATACACACCCATGAACCAAAACTACAAAGTGAATTTCTTTCTGTGTCCCTTCTAAAATCATTTTTTTTCTATAATACAAAAGAAATCTGTTCCTCAAACTTTATAAGTATTTCCATTTTACGCGTTTTAAATACAATATAATATGCATGAATCGGGAAATCAAATAGGCCGTTATAGACGTTAAGGTTCCTTCTGTCAGATCATCGAGGTTTCATTTCACGGATGACTAAATTGACCAATTAGGTTCAACTAATACAAGAGAGTAGTACAAAGTTTTAAAAACCTGCATCTTACCTGTCCTACCTGTTCGAAATATTAATTTAAAACGCTGTAATTTATCTAGCATATATAGCTTGCCACTTAATCTTTTAATTTCGTCTTTTATGTTACGTATACATTATTTATTGAATACGTAATCAAATTACAAATTGTTTTTTATTCATCGTAATGATTTAAAAAAAATGTTATATTTTCCGGCAAATTTATTAAGCGATCACTATTTTGGGAATGGCTAAATTAAATAATTTCAAATTCAAAAAACGGACCTTCCGTTCTTAGGAATTAGTGTGGAAAGATGATTGACAAATTATTGGTCATGTCAAAAAATTATACGTAAAATTTGATACAGTTGAAAGCACGTTATGATAAAAAAATCCTTTTTTTCTATCCCTAGCCCATAAATAACTATAAATGATTGTTAAAACGAAGTTACTGTATACGTATAATTTAAAAAATCTCTACATGAAGATATGTGACACAGTCGATACTAGATGCCTGCATGATCGGATAGATTCTGAGTTAGACAACTGTAAGAATCGTCCCAATGATTGTCGTAATTTTGGGGTGTCCAGTTCATAGGTAGAAATTCGTCTGATTGACTAATGCAAATTAATTGCCCGGGTAACTTATTTATATGTTTTAGAGTACTTTTTGAGAACACAACATTACACTAGTAACCATTCTTAACAAACATCATCTTTAACTTCGAAGAGGTACTAGAAAGGTAACTTTAAAAATAATCTCTGAAGGGTTGGCTTAGACACGACTTTCTGCAAGAGGTAAAGAAAAAAAGCTACGTCTAATTTTTAAAAGGCACAAAAACAAAAGTAGTTATTAACAAAGCAGTTGTTTTGTTAAAAAAAACTTGAGATTTCAAGTCAGGTGTTTGAAGCAAGACAAACTTGTTCGCATGAGAGATCTATGTTTTATATTTAAGATATTCTTAAGTTGATTGGGTTTGTTAAAGCATATGGGTTTATTAATTATAGGTATTAACATGGGTTTATAGATAGTAGGATTAGTTATTTGAGTTTTGTTAGTTTTGACTGCAAGTGTTGGTTTTAATTATAATGAAACTGGGTTAGTTATAAAAATGGGATATAGAAAATTCTGGAAGGTTTAGTACAAGATCAAAAGTTTTTTATATGAGTAAATTGCCTTAAAACTTAGTAATTATGATATATTTTTACTAGTACTGATCAAATTTATTGATAGGTGTAGGTAGGTAGGTGAATATGAAAATTAGAGTGTTTAAATAAGAAACTTATAAACAAGTTTTAGGTATAACAGTTAGTATAAAACTTTTGAACAGATTATTTAAATTAAATAATAATTAAAATTATACAAGTGATTGGTTATATACTTTTTTAAAAATTGTTTTTTGGAGTTGTAATACAATTATTATTGAATGTATTATTAATAAAATTTTGAGTTGTAAGTACTTATTTTAATATTAAAAAAATAAAATTAACTAATTTTCACTTTAGGTAATAATTATTTATGATTATTATTATAATTTTATATAATATAATTATACAAAAAAAATAAAGAAATATATAAAATAAAAAATTTTTTTTTTTAACTTTAGAATTAAAACCCAAAGCTTATATTAGATTAGAGTTTAGCAAGGTTTATAGCAAAATTTTGCAAGGAATTTTTTTACTTAAAGCTTTATAAGCAAAATTTTAAGATAATTTTACTATAGATAATGATTACTTGTAGTATAAATTAGCAAACTTCTAAATATATATATATATATATATATATATATATTTTAAATATTTTTTTTTTTTTTTTTTTTTTTTTTTTTTTCCCTTAAGCAGTCACGGTAGTACTTTATTAAACCATTTGTAGCTAC